CCGTTGTGGAAGACCTGAGAAACATATCCTCCAATGTTTGAGCTAAGGTCTCATAGCAGACATGAGATTTCAGATCAACCTTCCTCCCAATTGGAATTCCATCCATATTCACCTTCACAAAAAGGGAAGTCCTGATCTTAGCATTACAATTGCTCTTGTAACCATCATTGCCACTTTTCTCCACCAAGCAATTCTTGCTTTTGTTTTCAACAGTTGAGTTCAATTCTTCAGTTGCCTGTGATTTTGCTTGGTGAACCATGCTATTCATTCTATAAGCTCTAATAGGTGGCCAGCCTATAACTTGATTGCTTCAAGATTAAAAGATAACACAGAAATTATTTGCCAGAAATTGAAAAAAAAAAAAGTCGTAAATATTACTTCAACGAATTGATATCTATTAGAGACAATGATATTATTTATCAAGTGCCAAAAATTATATAAAAAAATGATAAGTCAGAATCATTAATGGCCCAATCATAGTCTTAGTTCAATTGGAAGGGATGAATAAAATTGTAGGATTTATCTTCCTTTCAAATCCAGCCTATGAAGAACAAAGGAATTACAATAGCATGCCTACACTCCTTTTATTTCCAGCTGCCTAAATTCATTTGGATTAAATACCATGAGAAATACAAGAAAAAATAGGAAGCTTCAATGCTTGACTCAAAACCAAAACAAGCCATGAGAAAAAGGGAGCTTCCAGAAATCTTATAGAATCTCAGGTACAAATTATTCATGGCACAGCCAATAGATCCTACTAACAATTGACAACCCTTAAATGCTGCCAAATTAATTCTCAGATGTTTTGATGGAGAAAACTCCATTAAAAAGAGAGTTGCCTGTGGTGCAGACACGAGCCAAACAACTATCTAGATCCAGTTTGTGGAACCAGTTTGGTGCATATGCAAAAATCAATACAGAAGGCCTAGCAAGAATAGCAGCTTTAAGCAAGTATATAGCATCACGCAAGGCCGGATCAAACAACTACAATGAAAAACTATGTGAACCAGTGAAAGTCTCCTATCCACTTTGTGTTTCCTTATTGTTAACTGATCTGATTTGGAGGCCACTATTATCAAGTAAGCTGGATAGTGTAAAGGTTCACTGGAAAAGTGGGAAATTTTTCTTTACAACCTTAAAGGTCTAACCAACTGATTCTGGTTTCATCTTGTGAACATTTGTGAAAACAATCCTAATCATTTGTCTTTTCTATCTAGGTTGTTAACTACCCGATGATATCAATAAATGACAAGGAATAGTTGTACCCAAGTCATAAAGCATGGTAGAACTTCTCCAGCCATCAGCAGCAAATTCTAGGTTAGTTGCAAAATACTCATAATTAAAAAAAAAAAAAAAAAAAAGCACGAAACTTTTGAAACATGTGAAAGTAATTTGTGTAATGCCAGTCTGAAATATCATCTCTGTAAGCATCCTTATTTTGATTATTGTCAAAGAAGCCTGGGCACAATATAAGAAGCTACATATACAATCTCAATTCCAATAGAAAGATTTCAATAAACAACACAATTGAACTTGAAGATCTGCACCCTTGGACATATTCAGAAAGTTCAAAACTTTGATATCTAAAATAAAGGAGATCAGATCAGGTGATTCCTATAATAGCTATTATTGTTTGTTCTAAAATGGAGATTGACCAGTGGAGCATTTTAATTGGCCTTAACTGTCACAGTTTTCATTATATTCCATCCAAATTCCTCCATCTTAGGTAGTAGCTACAAGTTCCAACCATTTCACCTTTATTCCTTGAATTATTGAGATTCCTCTATTTGAAGCGCGAAATGGCCACAAAAGGAAAATCCAGAAACACGATTTCACCACGATAAATTAGCAGGGGGATCAAACCCTACAACCTGATCACTAAACGATGAACCAAAGACCTCTATGATCTGGACATCGAATCTGACAGCAGGGATCAATAAATGACCGCAGTGATCTATACTAAGAAGTAAGAGATGATGAAATCCGGAAATAGAGTTCAAGTGTTAATATAGTCAAAAACAAAGTCTTACCCTACACCATTAGCAGCAGCCACCGAATCAGCACTCCTCTTGGTCCCAGCCGTGACATCAGCCCTGCTCAAGGAAGAAGGAGAAGAAGACGAAGACGATGCAGAAGAGGATGAGGGCGAAGAAGAAGAAGATGATGACCCAGGAGAAGGAAAATCCTTAGCAGTCAATATCCTAGCGAATTGAGGCCGTGAAGGCTGCTGCAGGAGCCTGAACCCTCCACCACCCAGACTCAACCCAAGACCCAGCTCGAGCTCTGTCTCATCTGGGGAAGAAGAATCCTCAGAGGAAAGCACCAAATTGTCCTCCCTTGAAACTGTTGACATTGACCCAGTTGAAGAACCACCAGAACCGCTCCCTCTTCCTAGAGCGCGTTGCATTAGAAGATTCAGTTTACAGAAGAAAAGAGATATCTGCAGAAATGAAAGTGAAAAGGGTTTAAGGGGGGGTTAATTAGCAGGAAAGAGGAGAGGAAATGAGAGAAAGGAAGAGGTGTGAGGAAGAAGAAAGGAGTTTGGTGAGTTGGATGATTATCATAATTCGGACCCACCTGTCTGGTTTATGCGCCTCCATCCCCATCGTCTTCTCCTTCTTTCTTCCTTCTCTTTTTTCTTTTTCTTTTTCTCGGCAGACACGGTACGAAATTTCGGATATCATATCTTCTCGCGAGAAAAAGGCCATGAAATTGCGGGCATCGAGAGGATGGACACATCACCTAGAACCTCCCAAAAGACAACCCGACAAAGTGGGGACCCACGCATCACACGGCTCGACAAGTTTGTGGGTCCCATCTTCTCAATTAAATCCGACGGCTCACACCCACCGAAATACTCAATCAATCAGATCAGACGGTGTCTGATGCGATCACTCGAACTCCTGATCTCGACGGGCTGGTAGAGGTGTCTTGCGGATAGGGGACAGGGCCCACCTCTGTCCCCTCTTTTTGTTTCCATTAGCCAATTCTTGCGGGGCCCACTCAAGGATAAAATAACAGTAAAAAAATAGAAGATGTAGGAAGTTTTCACATAATTAGAAGTGGGGCCCGGTTCATCATGGGTTTCCACGCCTGACTGACACGTGTGCGTTGATGGTGACAGTAGTGATATTTCCAGCTTAGGAGGTGTTTGGTGATTGGGTTTTATGGGTCCGGAGTCTGATTGTGGGAAAGTAGTTGCGGGAGAATAAATGTACTCAACATATATCAGTTGGTCATTTCCAACAAACATTAGAAATGAATAATATTTTGACAAGCAAATTAAATTGATCCACACATGAAATACTGTTACATACTTTATTAATGTATGTATAAATGGGATCGACCAATACATATATACTTTTACATTATCGACCGTTAATTCTATAACATATGATATCGTAGACTAATTAAAATATAAATAAAAAAATAATAATTGGATTTCTGTATCAAAATTCAATTTTTAATGTTCATTAAGGCCAAACCTAATCTTAGTTCCCTTCAGCCGTACTTTCGTTAAAAGACAAAATTAACCTCCACCACGTCTTACTCCCGTAACCCTCTCAAAATTTTGTTTTAAAACATTTTCTTTATCTTCATCCATTTTCAGTAAATTAAACCACCTAAATATTTCATATTTCCCAAAATTAATGCCAACTGATAAGCTGTAACTTTAAATTATGAAATAATATTTAAATATATTAAAATAAAATTAATATAATAATATAAAATAGCTATTTACTCAATATATAATAACTATCTATTTAAATATTTGAAAAATAGAAATAAAATATGCATGTTTGAATATTATTATGCCATCTAATTTTTACATGAATCGTGCCAAAGGGAGTGTTGGAGTGAGTTCTAGAGGGATGACACACTGTGTTCTTAATTCTATCATAATATATTATATAAATAATCTTCTTTTTTTTTACAGTAGATTTTGGTACCCAATAAATAAAAAGGCAGAAATTATGGTTTATCAGTTGGTGGAATTTGAAATCAACTGTTGATAAAGTTTTAAAAATGAGACACTGCGTTGAAAAGTTGGAAAACATTCTTTTACTTTTTCGTGAGCGTGTTCGAGTGGTGGGTGAAGGAGAGTCAAGCATGAATATGTAAAAAAAGATTACAGGGGATTTCAGAAAATTATTCTGATGAATACATCAGATATGGAATTTTATTCAAAGTTCATACTAAAATTTAAGAACATACGCTACTCTAAAGTAAAATATTAAAAAATCCACAAAATTTTCATTTCTTATCTGTATCGGCTTATTCTTGAGGCCTGCAATCCGTGCATTCCGCGCGCACTGGAGGAGGAATGCTGTCCGAGACATTAATCCGTAATGCTTGCTGATTCCCCTCATTTGCAGGAACATGGAGGAGAGCTTCCATGATTAGGATTTCCCAGTCTCGAGGTCGGAAAAATGAATACCAATTGCTATCTGCTCAGAAACTTGTTTCAGTATAAACTAGTTATTTTTACCCAGAAAAAATGATTTGAAGCCGCAGCATTTACATATTTCTTGAATTGCAGCAAAGAGAAACTACTACAGATAACTTGGAAACACGACTTCAATCCTACCCCAAATTTACTTTGCCTCTAATTATTTAGTTATGTTCACAGAAGAAAACAAACTCGTCATCTATTTTTACCCACAAATCCTAATTACCGTCGAGTAAACTTTCATGCAGATGCCATCAACTTAAAGTGCTTGTGGCAGATCTGATTTGACTATGAAAAGGCTGCACCATACAGAGAACTTCAAAGGAAAGACTCAAAAAAACCAAAAAAGCGAACATCATGTGTGTGAAAGGAAGAAACAGGTGTATAGCTAACACTAACCTCCACTACGAACTGCCTTCAACTGGAAGATTCCATTCCCTTGTGGTCCCGATACTGGAAATGAGCAAGACACAGAATGCCTCTTGTGAGCAACTGCAAGAGATGCACCGTACCATGGTCCCTTCTTAATCGGCTCCCCAATAGCTTCTATTATGGCCTGATTCTTACTTGCTTTCTCCATGGCTTTGCTGGAAAATATTCAGTAGAATATGAGGATTAGCACCATTATATTCCCAATAGTGATAGCTAGATTAACTTCTTTTCTAAGCAATAATCAAATTTAATAGTTTCTCAGACCATAAATTTCATTAATAAAACTGGTGCCTAATGTTGCCATGCTCTTAGATATTGAGACAACAAGTAGAAGGAAATCCAAGAGACATCTGTTAGCTATCATGCATAGAGTATTTCCCACATTGACCACAAGAAGAGCGAGTATATCAGATAATGACCGTAACTATTCAATCCCATTCTTATTGGAAGAAGTCCATCCACTTCAGTTAAGGTCCTATGCTGCTTTCACAACTCGCTCCCATGTAAGAACCCTTGGGCTCATAAGCTAAAGATGACTAGTTTTTCATTGTAAGTAAGCTAAAGATCAGAAATTCCTATACATGAATAATTCTGTGGCTATCAAAGCGAAGACATGGATCACAGAAAAGAGAAGAATCATTGTTAGAGAGCATGATGGGAAACCTTGTCCCACCAAGCATTTCACTACATTCAGTGCTTATCAAAGATCTTCGACTANNGATGATAGGCATGCAGAACCCCGACATTTCAAACTGTACATGCCATGCTTCTATAATATTAAAGGATGTCTCAATTAACTTTTTTATAGAAATCCTCCAATTATTTGTTTTCATCCTTTTGTAGAAGCGAAAATTGGCAGTAAGAATTGACACAAAATGAAAGAGCGATAATACCTTTTCTTAAGGTAGGTAGAAGAGAAAAAAGAGGCCGATAAATGACAGGGAACCAAATTGTGAAATGAAATTACTCTTCCAAGCTAGGGAAAATGGAAATGCAATAGAGAGGCAGAAATGAACTTTTTCCTCCACATCTCTATCCTCCTTATAACTAAGCAAATAGCAGAGAAATTTTGATTTTCTTAAACTTCAGATATCCATCCTTTTCATTTTCCTTACCAGCTATATAGCAAATCTTGGTATAACATGTTTTAATGACCATTGAGTTCATGAAAACTAGAAGTGACAAAACAGATTTCTCTGTCTGCACTGCAAGATTCTACTGTTGCACAGATTTGATTCAACCTAAATTTCAGTATGATTATACCAAACCTCGCATCTGATCAAGAGCCACTAAGAGACAAATTAGGTATGTCAAAGTGCCCAAAAATAACTATCCATTAACAACGCACTGAGAATAACTATCATTGGTTTCATGAACACCAGAGATGACAAACCAGAGTTCTTGCACAGTAAGAAAATTTTTTTCTGTTGTAGAATTAAGATTTCTGTTTATTCGCATCAAGGAAACAAAGTTATTCCACCTAAGACTGAAAATAAAGGGTTCCAAAAGGGCGGGTTAAATATTTAACAAACAACATATTTATGTTTATCACGAGAATTCAATAAATTGTCACCCAAGATTGGAGGCTGCTTAAGCTCAGGTCAATATTTTTCCAACTGGACTACTGTTTCACCTCCACACTGCAAGCATCACAGATTCTGCATGAGTTTATCAAGATTAGGAAATTTTTTACTGAGAAAATAATTCATTTTTTTTACAGAACTCTGGCAGATTCAATAGTTGTATGATTTCTTTTAAATGTTCAACCTAATTTCAGTGTGGATATGCCAAACCTAGTATCTGATCAAGGGTCAAAAACAACTTTGATGTGTCTAAGTGCCCAACAACTCCAACATCTACCACGTATGAGAATGAGACTCAACAATGTAAAATAACACAAAAATAGTATTGATGCAATGCTGAAAATGGTATTGACACCACCTATATAGCCCTCAGGCATGCATGGCAAGCTACTCATTCATGGAGAACAAAACAAAGGAATACCACAAAAATGCTACAAGAATTTTCCAAGAAAAAATATAAATTTGAATTTAACATCCTCAGAATGAAGCACTTGAAGCCTATTTACAAGTATACATTTCTTACATCTGACCATTGGTAATATGTATTTGTTATAAATCCATCATATTATTCATCTAATTTTTGCCTTTCCATGACTATGGAGTTAAGGAAAGTTCATCTAGTTTTTGCTTTTCTTTAATCTAGTAGCAAAAACTATAAAAACTACATCCTATGCTAAGTTAGGAAATCTAACTTGGCAATACTGCCATGCAGATCATGCTTAGCATATTGCAATTGCCAAGTCAATACTGTTCCTGACAACTTATGTAGTTCCAAAAATTCTAAGGGTAACTGTAATGTAGTCACAAAAAACTAATAACAACTTATGTACCCAGACTGAAATCCAATTAGGTCAAAAACAAACTAGAAACTTAATTCCTGCTAATTGCCTATTAAATCAGAAACCTAAACCAACAAGCAGCAGCATCTGTAACCACAGATTTTAATAGCTCTAAATTATAAATGGAATAATAAATTGAGCAACCATTTTTCTTAATCCACCAAGTTGGCAAGTTCAACATTTCTTTAGTTGCAAATTAATTTATGTTTGACAAAACGATGGGTGTTTCTTTAAACGTTGATAAAAGTTGCAAGTAAAATAAAAGTATACCTGCTACAGCCATGATAAATGGCAAGATCATCAAGAGCACTCAAAGCAACACCGCCGGTGATGGTAATCAAGACAAAAGACACTGCTTTACGACCAAAAGAACTATCATTTCCTTCATCTAAAGATTTTGTCGAACTGCACAGAAGCAAATTTCATGAGTCACTTATCCTCAACTTCAGTTTTCATTTTACCTCTCTGATTGAATAACCGGAAAGGCTTGATATTCTCTATCACAATGCACAAATTGAGAAGTAATTTAAACTCCTGAGATCAAGTGCGTAAACATTTTCGCTTCCGTACCTTTACTTCTCAAGATTCTTTTCAAAATAACTATTTAGGTTTAGAGAATTTTTTAGTGAGAAAACGAAAATAGTGTTTTCTGGAGTTTGACATTTTCTTTTTCGGGTCAAGAAAAAGCCATAACGCAAGCGAATGGGTACCCATAACCAGTGAATTCATCTAACCGAATGAAAACTTGAACCTAAAGCGACACGAAAAGGAGGATTCAGAGAAGAAAGTAAAATTTTCTACCTGCCAGTTGGAGAACGCTTGAATAAGGAACTAAATCTTCTCGCTAGCATCCTCCGAGTTATTCTTTTGTTCAATCTGCTCCTCGGATTGTCGTCGTCCCCTTCTCTCTCTACTTCGTCAAATTTTAGTAGTTGAGATTATAAGCGGCAACACCGATCGATTCAGCGGGGACGCCGATGACTGAACCCGAACTGCGGCGTCTGTTCAACTCGGCGGTGCTTCGATAGTTTATATTTCGGACATCGATGTGATTTATATTTTTTTTTTATTTAAATTATTCAGCTTTGATTATATATTTTAAAATTTTAAAATTAAAATATACACAAACCTTTTCTTTCTATATTTAAAAAAAAAATTACATAATTAGCTTATATAAATATCATTTAAATTATATATTTAAAAAATAGTTTATGTAGAATAAAAAAAATGTATATTTTTAATTTTTTTTTCTGTACTTAATTAGCTTAAAATAAAGAGCTTAATTAGTCCTAAATGTTAAATCCATTCATATATTTTCTTGATTCAAAGTTTATGAGTTTATTTAAGAAAATAAGCTGATAAATATTTTTGAAATTACTCTTATATAAGTTGTTATTTAATTAAAAATAAAAATATAACAAAAATACCTTGAAACATAAAATATTAAGGTTTAAGATTCATATTATCATATATTTGGTCAATACTAATTTATTTTAGAAAGTTTATTTTTTATTAAATAATTATTATAATTGCAGTATGTTAATTTTTGCAAAATTTTTAATTACATTTTTTCTTTTAGAAATCAGTTTATATATATATATATATCAACTATTTGAACATTAAAATTTTCAAACAAAAATCACATTATTAATGCAGTTTCTCATCTTCTATTTCTAGCTATTGACAAACATGTACTACTGGAAGTGGAAAGACCAGACCTCTTCTAATCTCCATTATCAACTTACCTTTTCACCATACAATCAAATAACTGTATCAGATTGCAGATACCTGCTGCTGGGTTCTACTTGATTTCTTAATCATTCCTTTAACTTAAACAGAAATTCTATCAGAACCCTCTTTAATATTTACATCAAGAATGATAAATCTAGTAAATTTAGATGATCTGCTATGCAATCAATAAATTGTAGCGACCACGTAACTTAAATACATGAGTTGAAGATGAAGCAAACTCCATCAAAGTTTAAATCTAGCCTCTTTCATCACCCACCCAGTTGTTCTTCTCCTTGGGTCCAGTAGGGCCTTCCTCTCCGTATAACTCCATTGGTAACTTGCAACACATGTTCTCCACTCGGAATCTGAACAACAAAGGTAAGCGTTTAATCACCTTATTCAGTTCAGTGCTTGAACCGTAGACAATTTTAGGACCCCATTCTCTCATGAACTGCAACCAACCAGGCTCAGCAACAACTCCATCACCAAGATATTCTGCTGCAATAATCTCATAATGGCTGCTCGAATCCACGTATAGACTACTACGTGCAGCATCATTCCTTACTCCAATTCCAAGCTTAATCGATCCTTGAAGATAGATTCCAGGATGAGGGTAGCTTGCATGTCCATTTTTTGATGAATAGACAATGGCTTTATTACCTTCTATATACTCCAAATCATAAGCATCCACCCATTCACCACCACTGTGCTGGGAGAAGTATATGCTCCATAGTTCTCCAGTAAGGTTGCAGATTCGGAGAGTGAAATGTTCCCAATCGCCTAGATGTTGTCCAACCTTGCTAAAAGGCATATTCATTTGTCCAATTTTAAGGGTGCCTGGTCCATTAAACGGACAAAAGACCCACATTGCAATATCAGTAAAAGTCCCACCAAGAGCAGGCTTCATATGTACATAAAGTTTAGCACTCCCTAAATTTCCATAGATAATACTGTTTCTCCGTTCATCAGCTGGCAAATCTATCCCAAACTCACCATCATTTGTTCCACCACTAGCAAATTTGAGCCAGTAGCATCAATAGTTCACCAACTGAATTCCCAGCACTGTATATAAAGCTCCACTTCTGAAAACCAGAAACAGATGACGCAATATACCTCGTTAGGA